ACGTTTTCTTTTTTTCTTTAAGTGGTTGTTGGACGTTCTGACAGTTTGATTCCTGCTGGTGTCTTTATTGCACATCATATCCCACTGTATCCACTGTTTCCTGTCTGCCTCCACCAATTAAAATTTAAAAATCACACAACTTGTCACAACACTCACCCATGATCTTCTTTTCTTTTTCATCAGATTATCAATGTTGGTGTTTCACCTTTCTTATCACCTTCCATCTACAAAAGAAAATATTCAATTACACTGAGTCGATTATTGACTTAGTTGTTATTTGAGTTATTGTTCTTAATTCTTATTCTTAGTCATTATCATCAATCTGCCTGTCTGGGTCTGCTTTACTTTTAGTTTTTATGCATCTATGTTGCTGCCCATGTATGTCTGATGTAATGTCTATTTTACATTTTATTGGGTTATTTCCTAAAAGCCTAACCAGGAACAAGGATGGCAAATTAGCCATGGCTAGAAGTCCTAAGTATATACATTGCATCGGTTGCACTTTAATCCGATGTGTAACAATGCCTATGTCTCTGACAAATAAATTGATATAGATAAATATACACATGGAATAAGACAGATTTTGGTGAAACTGGTTCACTAGTCAGTCCCTCCAGGATTTCGCGGACTTTTTGGGGGATTGTTGCGGCCTAAAATGACTGATTTCGCGGCAGCTTTTTAAGAAAATTGCAATGCAAGTTGCGATGTTTTTAGACGTTTTTTTGCAATTAAATTGCGGCAGGAAGCGAAAATTGCGACACTAGTTGCGATTATTTTAATGTAAAAAAAATCTAGTTTTTTATTATTAAACTATTTTCTTACACACACTTCGATGTGATTGAGTGATGCCTCTGCCTCACTCAGTGATGTCTCTCTCTCTTTCACGCACACACACACACACACACTTACTCACACTCTTCATCTGATTTCATTACACATCCAAATTAATACGTTGCCTTAAGCTTTTAAACCACTTTAAACATTTTACGACGTTGTATTCCTAACTACTTTCATGAATACACGAACGCACACACGCATGAGCGTGCACACACACACCGTTTGTTTCGCATTTATTTAACTTGTATGTCTTGTATGTTGTCCGCGCGTTTCAGTCATTCTCCTGGTGTGTTTTGCGGTAAAGTTTGCAGAAAAGTTGCAGTGATTGGACAAAATTGCAAGGTCGTCCAGAATTTGCAGGGATTGGTTGAATTTGCGTTAATTGTTGCGATCGCAACATCGCAACTTCCTGGAGGGACTGACTAGTATTTTTAACCAATTTTAATTACAGAACGCTTCAAACATCCTGGTACAGACATTTCACTGAGTCACTCAATCTTAGTTCAATGCAAAATACAGTTCAATCAATCAAATCATCAACACTACTCAAGATTACAGCCCAAGTGATTTAACATTTTAGAGGACTTTATGGAAATGCAGTCCACTTATCAATGGTTTTTGGGAAAGACACTGGATTCTAAATCACTGTCAGGTGACTTATCCAGTGATGTGTGAATGTAATTAGTTTATGCCTATGGTCCGTCACTTTACAAAACATCCTCTGCCATCAGTGTCTGAATGTGACATGTAGAGTAAATGCACTTAACATTAATGTAAAACATATTAGTATGAAGTCTCAACAGGCATTAATCCACTATTTTCAAACTTTAAGACATCGGTGTTGTCTATGTAGTTTAGTTTAAAGGGATACTTCACCCATTTGCATTAAGCTTTGTATCATTAGAAACATGGTAGTATTTTTTAATGGTCGTGCATCCCTCCCTCATTTTCCCCTGAGATGGGAAATCTTTGTATTTCTGAGTCTGAAAAGGAGCTTCCAGTGACGCAAAATGACGATTTTTGCGTCACTGGAAGCTGTTGCGGTTAGCAGGGTGAAACTACAACGCTAGTTCCTCATATTTTTGACCACTGAAGCTACAGACCAATCACAGATCAGTGGGTGGGAGTTCACTCCCAGAATCAAAACTTAACGTCCACCATATTGCTTGGAAGCTATGCTAACAGGCTCTATGGAGAAAGCTCATAATGGCGAAAATATAAATATAGCGGCGAGATGGCTGCTGCCGACAGGCCGGTCTTGTGTTTTGGCTGCTGCGGCCACTGCCCGCCGGGGGCGCTCCTGACCGCTCACAGGACACAAGACCAGCCTGGCGGTGAGGACGAGGAGCCCGGGTCGGCTCGACCTGGGACCAACTGGTTGTGTCGGTGCTCTCACTGTTTGCCTATGGACACAGACATAGAGTCTGTTTTCTGCCAGGAATTTCCAAGATACCAATTCCTACTGAATCAGTTGAGGAAACGGCCTTATGTGTTGAAGTAAATATGTCTGTAAATGTTTTTATTACTATATTATAGTAATTTTTATTACTATACTGTATATTTTGGAGAAACTGTAACGATCGAATTTCCCTCTGGGATTAATAAAGTATTTCTGATTCTGAACTAGAGGATCTTAGTGGGAGTGGCCTGCGGTGCTGTGCATTCTGGGATTTGGTGTCTTTCATCCACATGAGCCAAAAAGACACTTTCTGCCTTTTCTCGGCCAAGAAGGCACCAACTTCAAAATGTATTTCACATTTCTACTACATATATGACCCAATGTCAATAAAGATTCATGTTTCAACGGGTGAAGTATCCCTTTAAGTCCACTCGTGTTAACCCAGAATGACGATGTACATTTAGCCTGGACAGGGTTCATATTTGCAATTTGAAGAAATCTACAGGAATAATAAAAATCAGTGGCATTAGTAGGCCTAAACTGCGTTTGGCTATAAAAGTGTTCATCCAGGTCAAAGCTATGTTGACCTTTATCACATCGATTAAAGCCTATAACTACTGTATGATGTTTTTAAGCTGGTTGGATGAGATATAACTTTTAGTAGCCAGTTTATAAATGTATCTTACCTCACACCCTCTGTGTCTGAAACAGAGGGAATGTGATGATAAGCTTGTGATGAATTATTAAGACATTTTTGCTTTGATGGTGACTCATTTTTACTTTGCTATAGTTAGTTTCAACAGAGTTAGTTTAGACCACTTCTTAAAAAATTGAGCAAGTTATTTATACTCTAAATGGGAAAGATAGAGACGCAGTTCCCCAAACTATCTTAACTATCAAAATGTTCTTAAAATTGTATTAATTCTTATTTCTTGTTTTTCTTGGTTTGCTGATAGTCGGACTAAAACAGTAGTTCTCTAGTAGTGAGGAGGGAAAGTTGACTAAGAGAACCAGTTGTTATTTTTCTGCATGCAAAATTCCGCCCATAATCACTAGGATGTAAAACATGATGCAAAGAAAACCAAACTTTCTTTGGTTTCGAGGGTCCTCTCTCCATTCTCGGCCCAGGTGTATCATACTCCCTACTTCCTTCATTCCTGTTATGTCCCTGCGATTTTCTTATGAGCAAAAAAACGCAAACATTGCTCCTACCTTGACAAAAAGCAGACACATAAACAGCCTTGGTCCACACCGGGTTGGTTTTCTTTTATGAAGAGTCAAATTGTTCTGCCGCTACCGAAGAGAAGCACTGGACGTCGGGCTGCTGTTTCTTCCGCTTCCCCGCCTACACTCTGAACACCGGATAGTTCTGCCTGTCACCGGGCTTGACTGGACCTACTGTGCAAACTCAGTGTCTTAAGTTTCGATTTTGGGGAAGTTCATCGACCTACCCTCATGTGCACCGCCCTTACTGCAATATCTGCCATGTTTAGTGATCTAAATCATTTGGCACAGCTCATGAATAATAAGGGCTCTACAGTCTCCTAATGGCTCTTTAATCGGTCTTTATTTGATTTTATTCAATCGGTCAAATGAAGTCAAGTGAATATATTTTACTTACAGTAATTTGTTTGTTCGTTTTTATACTGAACTGTATAATTCCCATAATAACCCTGTGTTAGGTATAAAACATTAATGTTATTAATGTAATATACACTTGTCCACATGTGTATTGAACTTGTATTTGTTGAGGTGCTCACTTCTATTATTTTTGTGCAATCAAATCAAACATTTCAACTTTTCTCCCACCATAATTTAAACTCCAGTTTTCAATCAAATAATCCAAAAGAAAAGTATATACATGCCTCACTACTATAATATAGTATATGGTTTAACATGTAACTTATAGTCCTTGATGAAGGTCCATCTGTGCTCCAGAGAACTATGTTTCTATGGGCTTTGGTAAAATAAACCCTAAGTGAACATGAACGCAGAATGAAACAGGAAGGGGAAACCACAGAGCTTTTGATATGAAGTAGACCTGAAGGTAGAAGAGGCAGAGGAGAAATCTAGATGAGCTACTTTTTTTATTTTCCTTTCCGTCCTGCTTTCACTGTTGTTCAATGTAGCTTTAGTATTTGTTTAGTATCCAGATACATGTTCCTTTTTTTTGTGTGGACTAAAGAGAGAATATAAATGTATGAAAGCTTAAGTCCCTGACGTGAGAACATGTCAAAGAAAAACAAAGCTGCTCTAAACTGTGGCAAATCAACCACTGACAACACCAACGCCACAGCCTAACATTCAGCAAGGAAGGACATTTAATCAGGTACTGTATAAACAAAACAGCACCAGGTGACATACTGTCATGAGCCAATGGAATTTTCCTTTTATAGCCCTCACAGGGAGGACACGTGACATTCTTACCAGGTACAGGAATCTCTTTTTGGCTCCAGTTTCCCGCCTTTGAGCCAAGATATGTTGAACAGAAACCTCTGTACTGATTGGAAAGGAGACAAAATCAATTTGATTCTCATCTGCAGGATATTTCTTATGATGTCCTGGTGCTCTCTCTCTATTGTCTCTGGCTAAACTTCATCAGAATACATTGTATTCATTGCTCTAAATCCTGATATGTCCGGGGTTTTTATAGACATTAATATAAATTGTAAGAAGCCTTTTTGACCCAATGACTTCTGTTAAATATTCAACCTTCAAGCAATCCTTACACTGAAATGAAGCAATGACTCCACGAGCAAAAATGTAGGAATAAAAAAAAAAAGATTTTAATGTGCAAGTTATTAACTTCATGTAAACGCTCTTAAAAAAGTCTTTGTACATAAACGTTCTGCAGCCGACCTGCAAGTTTGTAATCAGACCACATAATCACATGATCATAAGAAAACTTCTGTATTCAGGTGTCACAGTGAACGCCCTTTGGAACCGTCCGCTCTTACCGAGTCAGCACAATAATCCTGATTGACACAAGCGAAGCAATCTAGCAGCATTAACTGGAATCAAGCACATTTAGCATAGTCATTCTTAAAGATCTGTACCCATGCAGCACAGTGATGTTTAAAAAAGAAAAAAAAAGAAGGCACATCGGCCGTATTAATGGATTTAACATCGCAGATCCAAATTGTGAATCAGTCTGTACAAAAATATACATACAGCATCTGCACAGTGAACAGGCTCACTGAGAAATACAACATTGCACAATAAAACTACCCAACAACATCCAGACATGTTTCCCACATTAGAGGCCAAATATTTTAGGGACAAACACTTTTTTGGACATGCTGTTATAAAATACAAAAAATTCTCTTTTCTCCGTCCTGCTACAATATGATATCCAACAACACCCTGTTGGTTTTTCAGACTTCCCCGAGGCAGAAGCAGAACTTGTGGACGGTTGTGTCGTGGGAACATTTATCGCCCAGGTGAGCAGAAGGCACTTAAAAGAGGGTGCAGCTGCTCCCACCCGGCAGTGGATCCCAGGCACTGCAGGCCCGGTCCTCACCAGCTTAAAGTGCAGCAGCTTGGCCCCATTTGATGTCCACCCTTACTGGCAATGCTCCCGTCTGTGCTGGGTCCACCTGACTCTGGTCCAGTTCACACTGGTTGTGTGTCCGGTGAGGAAGGATCTGGCAGTGTGTGCAACTCAGACTGCCTGAGAGGATCTGTAGCTGATTCTGAGGCAGATGTGAGATTCACCGTTTGACTGTGTGAGTCCACGTGTGTGGAAAGTGTTAACTCTGCTGGCTGCACTGTCTGAACTGCTAAATCTGAAGATACCGGCTCATCTGGTAATGAAGAGGGCGATGGTCCATTTGTTACCGTGTGATCGACCTGCACCGGCTGTAGAGAATGTGCAGGTTCCTGTGGTTGTGAGGCGTTTGATGATGTGTGTGTTGGCAGGTGTTGAGTGCACGGCTCATTTTGTCTCTGTGGTCTGAGGTGTGTGTATTCGGCTTGTGTTTTTGCATTCTGCTCAGCAGTGGAGTAGTAAGGCAGGAACGGCCTCTCTGATGCACATGTCCGCATGGCCAGGTAGGTGTGCATGAGCAGGTGGGGGAATCGGGAGGTGAAGTAAGAGACGAAGTCATCAGGGATGGAGCCCAGAGTCTCTTGTACCTCTGCAGGCAACTCTCTGTAATGGTGTTTCTGTAGAGGGAGAGTCACAGTGAGGCAAACTTCACAGACCGCATTCTTTCAAAGATAAAACATGAAAATACATCCCTACCTTGTTTCTCATTGCACGCATCAGGTCTCTGACCGATCCACCTTTATAGGAACGGAACTTCCGCAGATCTGCAGAAGAAAGGAAGACAAAACTCAATACATCAACCACAGAAATGAATACCTGATAATCATTCAACTAGAAACCAATGAACAGGGACACCTGAAAAACAGAGCTAAGCTTCTTTAATACTACACTGTTTCTCAAGAACCCACACACTCAGTCAGGGCATAGAGAGAGGAAAGAGAGGATTTTGTTTTCCTGTTTCATGTAAAGAGACCAAGAAGAATGTTTTACAACGTCTTGTATCTTCACGTGCAAACTTCAGCCTCGGTCTCGTACCTGTCTGCAGTGGCACTGTGATATGCTCCCTCCAGTCACTCTTCACAACAGCCCTCCCTCCTCTCTCCAGCTGTCTCACGATTGGTCCGTCCAGCGGCTCCTTTTCTATTCTGTCACTCACATCCTGCAAGCAACCAACAAAAGATTATTTTAGAGACTTTCCAGTCGTTCGACAAAAGTCTTAATCACACTCTGACCATTTCTAGAATTTGGTGATCACTGACACATTTGTAATACTGTTGTTTTATTGACAAAAGTTCTTCACCTTCATAAATCACTTTAATGAATTCATGGGGTTGTTTTTGGACATCCTAGAGACATGTATAGTAGCTTAAGTTAAAATCTGTACAAAACAGCACATGAGTGTATTCAGACACTGGTCACTATATTGTACTACAGTGTGATTTTAGTAAGAAGAGGTTGAAAACATCAGGGACAGCCTAAAAGGAGTCAGTCCATACAAATGAATAGGCACTAAGGCTCATTGCATTTAAAGAGACACACACACCAAAACAGAGCGTTCTGAGAGAGCTGGTTTATACAGGGTCACAAACCTCCTCTGGTGCTTCATGTTATATTTTGACCAAAGCACAGCACAGATATTTCATTTAGACCACAGGGGACTGTTTGAAAAGGTGGAACAGGGGGATAATATGTCCTCTTTAATTTTAAAAACTAACCTGAAAGAACTGCAGCTCCTTCTCCAGGCTCCAGAAGAAAGAGTGTTTGAGAATGCTCTCAGCTGCAGGTCTCCTCTGTGGCTCCATGCTCAACATCTGCTCTATGAGATCTTTGGCTACAATGTCCCCTGATCATAACACAAAAACATACAGCTTCAGAACATGTGTTCAAAATAAATTAATTTTTATTTAGCCCATACACAAACATCCTAATAGCTTTACCAAACAAAACACACCGTCCTCTCCTCAGTGAACAACATTACTGTTTTTCTTTTTGAAACAAAGGAATTCCCAGAGGGAAACTAAACTTGAAACAGCATTATGCTTGGACCAATTCAAAAAGTATGTGTATTTCCATTTGTGGGGTGGTTTTGTGGAATGGTCTTGACGAAACGATTAAACAAAGTCTGAATATAATGCAATTTTAAAAAATGTACAAAAGATATATCTTTGAAAAGTACAGAAATGAGTAAGGAGAATGTAAATCTCACAGATGTTAATGGCGCCTGTTCATTTTGTTCTTTTTTTTGTTTGTTTTTGTTTTGTTCTGTTTTTCTTAATAGCTCAATTGGAGTATTGTTTTTGTATTGTCCGTTTATTTTATTTATATTGGATTTTGCATTTGTTAATGGTGAAGAATGAGGGTAGGACTTGACAAGCCTGGGCTTCTTCCTATCCCTTTTTGAATGAGTCAAATGTGTATTATATTGAAATTGGCTTTTTATTTTAATTTTTTTTAATACAGATTTTAATTTTTTTTCCATTTGTTTATTCATTTTCATCTATTTTTAATCGTTCGAAATAAAAAAATAAAAAACCTGACCTGCGTGTTTACATGCATTTTACAAGTCCAGTTTGAGTCGGACCAGAAGTGAGCTGCTTCTCCACCACTCACTCACCGGGTTGTCTTTGCAGTCCTCACTGAGAACTTCAGGAGCGATCCAGCCTTCTGTGCCCGGCACGCCGGACCGTCTGCTGAAACTGTGACGACCCACCGCCAGCTTCTTACACAGGCCGAAGTCTGAGATCATGGCCCGGACCCGACCGTGGGCGTTGGGCATGGACACCAGGATGTTGTGAGGTTTCAGGTCTCTGTGGACTGAAGGGAAAAATATGAAGGCGAGTGGAGAAGAACAAGTTGTATAGATATGTTTGTTTTTTTACTAAACAGCCAATAACGATGAGAATGAGATGTGTTGTTGTTCTGTTCTGTTCTGTGGTACCTACCAATGTTGAGAGAATGCAGGTGGGCCAGTCCTGACATGGTCTGCTGAAGAAGCATAACTGGCTCTAGTCCATGACGGTCAAAATCCTTCCTCTCCACATACTAAAGAGAAGAAAGAAGTCATTAACTATGAAGAGAGGTCTCATTCTCACATAGTGTGAAATATGTGGTTGAGAATAAATAGTATCAGGGTTATTCCCTCTTTTGACTTTTTATGAAAACACATAGACACAAAAAATAACTTTACATCAGAGGAGGCCTACAACTGCATTTTAATCACAAAAAAACAGGCTTCTTGCTATTGACAAAAGACTACGGTTGAATAAAGGGAGCTTGGGGGGGAGCGAGGCCGCACACAGCTCAATGGCGATGTACTGGAACTGCCGGTCCCTCTCCGTGCAGAAGTAGCGGCTGACGTTCGGGTACATACTGATTTTAGTGGCAACATTTTTGCGGATTTAAAAATTGATTTATAAATGGCAAGGAAACACTTTATGCTGTTGTGACATTTGTTTTCACTATTCATTGTAACCAGCAGAGGGCGATCTTACTTCATCAGTCACTCAAAGCAGACCATGAAAGGCCCTAAATTCAAAATGTGACAAACAGTACTGAGAGGGGAACTTCTTGATAAAGCGACACAACCATTTTTATTATCCATATGTCATCTTTAGTCTGTGAAACTAATAACCACTTCTTCTTGAAGTGGAAGTCTTGACCCCCTCTCCATTAACATACCAAGAAAGGTAACATTCCTCAGAGTGGCTTTTTTAAAAAAATATTACTCTATGATTACCTATGAGGAGCAGGTAGTTCCTCATGAAGTTGATGTGGTTCCTCTCTCACAGGGCAGCGTTGGAGCAACTCCTTTTTTTGAATAAACTTTATCAGTATACCACATTACAACACACGGGCAAGGAAGTCCAGTGTGAAATTCAAGTCACTATATTAAAATTTTTAATGTCAGCTAAAACAGAAAATAAAAAAACATAGTTTAGAAGGAAGAACTAGGCTACACTATGAAAAGAATAGTGTTTGAATGTTTTTTTTATTATTTGGACATCTGTAAACTTTTTGTTTCTGTATACTTTTCAGACAGATTCAAATAATGTCTTCAGTTCAATATAAAATAACTAAGTATAACGTTTATTTATATAGCACCTTTCAATAGCAAAGGTCCCAAAGTGCTTCAAAATAAAAGATTTACAGAGACAAGAAATACAGAGTTACATAAATTCAGACATGGACAGATCAGACAAAGGCAAGTCTAAACAGATGGGTCTTTAACTTTTAAAATTGTCCACAGAGTTCACAGCTCACGTCACCTCACTTCAGATATCAAAAACACACATTCAACTTACCGATAAATAGGCAAAGATCCCTCAGGGCTGTAGTCCACAGCAGTATACATTCATACGTCCATTTGAAGCAGACGCTCCTGGTAATGGAAGTTCTGTGGCTCTCGTCTTTACTGCGTTTCCTCTTGCTGTTTCCCCTCTACTTTGCTAATTTGTTACGAGCATCGCAGCAGGAGCCATATTTGTCAACAGAGCGGTCAATCATGGTTTTCTACACCTATGTAAAGCATCAAATAACTAATTAAATAAGAAACTTATATGGAAAAAAGAGTCCTTGAACACGTCAGAATTAGAATAAATAGCATCAGTCAGTAGGGGGAGCTCTAAATATTTTGGCCTCACTTCAGATGAGAGGTGTTGCAATAGGCCTACCTGTATTGACATTCTTTATACATTCTATGGACAATAAGTACACAAATGTTTTGTATCAGTCAGCTGCAGTTCCTCTCCTTCTCTTTGAACTGTGGCATTCGGCTGTGGGACATGCACTGTAGCCAGAGGTGCTGCTTGTCAACAGGCTAGGCAGGCAACTGCAAGGGGAGAGCTCAAACTCTAAACCAGCAGCCCAAAATGTGAACATTTTACAATGACAGTATAGGAAACCTCCCCAATGGGGGCCTGACAGCATGGCAGCACTTACTTTAGTTGCCATGCTAAGCGTTTCATGCATTGTTGCTGTTTATGAATCATTCGGTGTTTCCAAGGCAACAATAGACATTCTGTCATTGCAGCCGCCTCGACAAGACACGTCCCATTACATCTATAAAATTACAGATTTCTCTGGCTTTGATAACTGTTGGAAACATTTGAGGTCATGTAGGTACTCAATAAAAACATATATATAACATGGGTTTAGTCCATTTTAAATGAAGATATTTAAATGTAAACACTGTCATACAAATACATATTGTCTGTTTTGATGAGACTGTCAATATTATGGAACCTGAAATATTGATAAATATTTTTTCTTCAGAAATGAAAAAACCAAAAACCAAAAGAGAATTTGTAAACCAATTTTTACTGAATGTAAACGCATGTGTTACAAATATTTATGAAAAACAAAGTTGGCAGGTACAACATTTCCCTTTGAAGTTAACATAAATAAAGAAATCCCATATAACTGCAGTGTACAAAATGTAAAAAAATGTAATGTAAATGTAAACTGATCGAGAAATAAGAAATAAAACAGGCAGAGATGTAAAAGTTTGAGTACAGACTGGCAATGAATTTACTTAATGTTTCATATAAAGGACATCTGAGGTTATTACAGGTTCTGTTAAGTTGATACCACATGTAGGCCTACACAATCACTATATTCAATATTTGTTTTTTTGCAGCACATCAAAATGAATACACATTATTCTCTAACTAAATGTGGTACTGTTGCTTTAAGACCAGTTATCGTGAAAGCAAAGACACAAAGCCCAAGGAAGTGAGTCAGACATTTGATAAGTAGTACCTTGTTATTCTATTTTATACATTGTATCCTGGATAACAAAACTGAGAGAGCTATTAACATCTTCTTGAAAACATAATCAACAGTGCTTTACATCTGGAACTTCAATTTGTCTTGATTTTAAATCTGACTCCATTTAAAGTCAAACTTCATATTCAGGTCACTAGATTTGAGTCACCAAATGCTTTAAATCCCTTAAGTAGACTTCAGTTTTCATGTGCTCCAGTTAGCACAAAACAAACACAAATTATAAGATAAACAAATTCTGTTTGTTATTTTCATACACAGGAAATCCAAATTTGGTCTTTTCAAAGTCAATAAAAACACATATATACAAATACATAATAATATGTGCATCTAGATATTCTCTTTTGTCTTTTCAATATTGCCTATTCAATGCTACTTCCATGTTCAAGTAAGTTTAAAACAGCCTTGAGGGATGATTGTTCAAAGGCAAACTATTTTTTTACAAGGATGTTGCAGGCAACAGGGCCTCTGTAGGTAAACCCAAGGTAGAAAGTGATGTTCTCATTACTATGAGGCACTGAAGGCACATGAAGAGGTAGGATGTTGAATCTTTTTTTCCTAGGGCCATCAAGGTACACCACTCCATCTTCAGTCCATCCAGACACACGTTTCAGCATCATGGCAATCTCAGGTTTTTTCCATGCCTCACCCCTAAACCACTTCATGCGTTTCTCAGAGACCGAGAACACCTTGGTGACACTTTCAAACTTTTTCTTGTGGACAAATTTATCCAATCCATTCGCACTGCCCAGAAAAAAATGGGTGTAAAGCCTTCTTTTCCTCTGAGGAATGTCCTTCATCTTGATCCAGTAGTCTTTTTCCAGGTGTTCAACTGCTGATTGTACAATTTCATATTTGGTTTCTCTCTCCATGTCCATGTCATGATCCTCTGGCCAGAACAGCAAGGTGAGCAGGAACAGGGCACTTGGTAGGCATCTTCGTTTATCAGATGGGAACTGACACATAGTGCCTGCAGATTTTTCAGAGTGACCTTTTTAGTGTCTGGAGACAGGCAGTTCAGTGAAATGTGGGCCATGATGTAATTGACAATATCCCTTTGACCAAACTTTGCCTTTAATGGATTGCTGGGATAGAGAGAAAGGATGCTCTCTAAAAGGCATACTGCATTCCTCTGATCTGTTAACTTGGAGAGGATTGACGTTACATTACCTCCGCCAAGATGGTAGATGATCATGCGTTTTTGGAATGGCGTTAGATTGGCTGGGATTGATTGCCCCTTAAGTGCATTAGTGTGGGCTTCACTGAAGTACTTCCCATACTCTGAAGATTTTTTTGCCAGCCATGCGAGTGGTTGGCTAATCTTCTCTTCGGGACTTTCAGGGTTGTCCTCGTCATCTGCACCAATGTCTGTCTGAAAGTAACTCAGGTCTTCTGAAATCCACTCCAAAGCAGCTTGCATTGTTTTGTGAAGTTTTTTCAAAGGGCCATGAAATGGCTCCCAGGCATCTTTAACTTCCTCTGGAATGTAATCTGTCAACAGGTACTTCATACACTCCGAATGACCATTGGTTTTGTATGCAAACACATCCAATGAAGAGATGAATTTAAGAAGACTGCATCCAACTTCAACTTCAGAAAAAAATCCTGAATGATTCACATTTTCCATGTCTGCTTCAGCGGCTTTCTCACACTCTTGAAAACACTCTAGAGCTTTCAGTGCAGTCCCCATAGCATCTGCTGTATTTTGGGCTGTCTTTGGTACATTGTCAATGGTTTTGCATTTAGCTTGGAACCATTTCCTGTACACCTGCCCCTTTGTGTCGAGTATGTAGGAGTTGTTCGGCCGCTGTTTAGCTGCTGTCTCTGCCCAGTGTTTTGCCTCTTCAAACTTTTCATAAGTATAATGAAGACGAGCAAGTTGTTGTGCAAAAAATGGATCTTTATTGAAACGCTCAAATGCCTCAGTGAGCAACTCAATTGCTTTGGCTGGGCTTTTCTCCTTTTCACACACGTGCTCAATAAGAGGAGAGAAAAAGCTGTCATATTTGTCTCCTTTGCTTATTCTTGATCTCCTTATGAAAAGTGCTCTCAGGAATAACAAATATTCGTCCCTTCCAAATCTGTGTTCAAATAGCACACTCTCACAGACCAATTTCATTGCCAAACTGCTTTGGGTCTGTTCCCCCAAAAGTTGTTGGAGAATTTCCTTGGCAACAAGTGGGTGGATGATTCTGATTGATTTAATGTGCGTCTTCTCATCTCTGAGATGCAAGAAGACCAGTCGAGCCTGGGGGCTAAGTGATTCCTCAAACTCATGTTGGTGAAACCTTTCCATGTGAATGGTTAGAGCAAGCAGGGCTTCACAATGAGACTGGGAGATGAAAGAGTTTTGAACATAAGTGTTCAACAGTGCCACATAGAGGATGAGGCGAGTGACAACAGATTGGCAGTCAATGCCTTGAAGCAAATGTTTCACAAAATGTTGAACATAGTCAACATTGAATTCTTGACTCATCAGAACAAAAGTCAGAATGAATTCGGGTTCATATCGTTCTTCAAGTGCCTCTCGTTTTCCAGAAAACTTTCTCCTCTCTTGGTTAGACAGCTTGTGAGTGACGGACACATT